GGTAAACAATTTTTAGATTTGATGCATCTCCATTTGCATCCGTGCAGCTTTGTAAAGAATCAGTAAGTAATTTAATGAATTATGGGTGTCGAAAGTAGAGACTTTAAGTTTTAAAATGCTTTTTTGATCATTCCGATACGATCATTTTTGACGAAGTTACACTCTCTTGAAATTTGCCTATTTTTAGTGATCAGAATGGGTGATGCTTTAATTTTGCTGTCGAGTGTATATCATATATATATTTTATAGGTAATTAATATTTTACAAGTGCAAACCACGATGGTATACTATCTTTAGTCTAGAGACAGTACACCAATCGTGGCTCGCATTTGCAAAATATTAATGCATTTCGAAACCTAGTAAAAAAAAGTGACTGATATATCCACGACTACGTGTGTGTTACTTGAGAAAAAAAATAATCAAACATTTTTCTCTTGCGCAGTGAAAGGAACAAAGCGTACTGTGGATACTCTGAAAGCGAACGCTGCCAATTGAAAATCGGACGATGCGGTAAAGAGGTGACGGCGACGTAACGGCGGACGTCTCTCGCGTGCATGACGACAGCGTGCCGATGAAATTTTTTTTTTTTGTGCGGAGTAATCTCGCTGCCCGCGCCGGAACAATAAGCGCGCTCAGCATCAATCGAATGATCGATTTCCCATCATCGCCAATATCCCAGCCGGATATCTGTTTGTTTATCTGTATTTCGCGCGCCGATGAAATTTTCCCGGCTGTACATCCCATCCATTGTCAGCGCATGAATATAACATAAACCCGAAAAATATCGGACATTTAATGGCGACCCGGTCGCGGTCGCGGACGCCATGTAGTAAAAGCGGTTAAGTTACATTTTACAAAACGCGGATTCGGAAACCAGCCCAGCGAGCGCAGGGATACGGCCGGCGCGTAAAAGCCTCTCCACCCTTTCTCCGCCTTCGCGGGGGAGGGGGGGGGGACAAAAAACAAACAGTATCGTCGGGGAAACATATGGCGCCGTACGATAGGGACTCATTAACGGCGGAGGAAACGGCGGAGCAGTGCGAGCCGTATATAAGACAGGAGGGGGTCAGCCCTCTCGTCGTCGTAAATTTAGTGGGAACAACTGCTTTCGCCTGCAAGCTCCGCTTGCAGCACTGCCCGCCGCGCCGCCGCGACCGCAACCCGCGATCGAAACGGCGTACCCCGCGCGCCGTCGAAAAATCTTACTGTGCAGCGCATTAGAGATTTACACTCGAAATCAATTAGCTTCTAATTGACACGAATGAGACCGCGCGAGTCTTTGTTGGGTAACCGCAGCTATCGGGTATCGATGGCGATCGTAGGAAGTTGGTCTCCATATCGCTCGGGAGATTGTCGTCAGCGCGAGAGACTTTCGGTGTAGGAGAAAACTTCTATTTATGGTACATTTATGGTATACTTATATACGTAAAATACAACAGATATCCCACGGTGACGGTTGCATGAATAAAATATATTATATATATATAATATGTAATGTTATATTATATATAACGAATGTTAAAGTTAACCAGATAACAATATCAAATAAATGTTGCATGTCTCAAAGTTGTACGCGTCTCTGGTTAAAAGCCAATCAATTATTCACCCATGCATTTATACTCTGCGCATTTGGCGATGCAAAAATAAATATCGTGTCCAATAACGTACGGAGGGGAGGAAATCGGTCAGCGAGGAAATTGTCGGCCTCGACGAGAGAGACAGAGAGAGAGAGAGAGAGAGAGAGAGAGAGAGAGAGAGAGAAAGCAGCCAGTTGGTGTCTCGTAAAACCTCAACGGCGAAACTCAACGGCGGTGCGGAAAGATTTACGATTCCAGCAAGAAGAAGCGTAACATCCGTAATATCCTTTCTTCGCGAAGAGGTGGACGGTGATTTTTCATGCCGGGCCATTCTTCTCTCGTCACGGAGCTCCGTTTAATTTTATTTTAATACGGAAAAAATGGATCCCCCCTCTCCTCCTCTCCTTTCCCCCTGTAACGCACTCGGGCGGCGAGACACTCGAGCCCGAGGAGATTCGCGAGGGAGAGAGACACGGTCGTAAATATTTGCGCAACTCGTTGGCCGTGGCGGCACAGCGTCTGGCAACACGCGCGGGCCAAATTTCGGGCCACGTCAAAATATTTAAAGCCGAGGGCGCAATTAGCAGAATCCGCCTTTACGTTCGTCGGTGAACGGCCACCGGAGGCGCCGACTCTCGCGCTCGTCATTTTCCGTCAGCGGAAAAGTGATTCGCCTCGCGTCATTTCACCTGAAACGCCGCGGAAGGAATATTTTTGACATATCATTTAATTTTTAATCTGTCAAACGGAAAAGCTAGAAAATCTAAACTGATATAGAGTTGATTGGCATTTTCTCGATAGCTTTTTTCATAACTAATAAAAAGTATAGTTATATTACATTGACGTTGATCAATGTTAATCCCGATTAACATTAATCAATGTCGCATTCTGCTTCCTCTGCTTATATCATTGCTATAGAATTATAAAGCAGAAAGCGAACACTTCTATCTAGGATTATTCGACATATTTTATAGCGTTGCAATTTGCGCCTGTTTTACTTACATAATTTCTACACGGAAAAAACAATTTTGCTAAATCCAGATCTGAAAATAATTTTTGTTCAATAATCAAAATAATTTTGTGCGAAAGTCAAAATGATTGCTAGAATCTCAAAACGTTTTATAGCAATGCTTATCAGTAATTTAACATTCCAACAAATTATTTTGATGATTCAATAAAAAATTATTTTTAGATTTATTTTTAGCAAAATTTTTAAAACTTTCAACAAAATCGTTCTTTCCGTATTTGATGTAAAATGTGTGTGTGAAGAATTGAAGTGCACAGAAGTTTATTTTGGGCGACAACGATAATGAGTCATTTTGCGCGCGGAGTCGACGAAAAATAGGTGTTGCGAGAGAAAAATTCCGACACGCCGCGCCGCCGGTCCGAGGCCCCGGCTGCGAAACGGGTCGCGTTTTTCTGCGCTCGATTTAAACGTCGTCTACGTGACAGGCGTGAAACCACCGCGCGTGATACCGCGCGTAGATCGCGACGAGCCGTGGCGGGACTCGTCGTTTCTCGCCCGTGCTGCGCCTATATACCGCCCTTTTCCCTGCGAATTTTATTTATCGTACGAATGATTCCAACGACGAAGAAATAAATCGGCCATGTCTCGCGTCGCGTGCGCGCCGCAGAAAAGAGTGAAAATAAAGTCTCCGGTTGGCGGGGAATTTCGAGGGAAAAATGCTGTTAAAAGAAAGCGGCGGCGCTTTATATTCACGAGGAGAACAGAATTCCCTTATTTACCCTCGCAACGATATGAAATTAAAGGGCCGGTATAAAATTAAAAGCCAATTTAAAATATTTACATGCAGTATGCATTATATATATATGACGTTCTATACGGTTGCAGTGAGAACCACTAGAAAAGTAAACACTGTTAAATCTACAGTGTCAAACTGAACTTTATTTAAATCGCCACTGCTCCTACCCTATAAATAGTTCTTTTTAACTAAAACAATATTTTTAAATAAAACAATGGAATTTAACTCAAATTTGGGTTAAATTTGAACTTTTTTAAATTATTTAACTCCATTGTTTTAGTAAAAAAGAACTATTTATTAAGTAAGAGTAGTAGCGATTTAAATAAGGTTTAGTTTGACACTATAGATTTGTGAATTCGTGATAGATTTATTAAAATGCAGTTCTTATTATCGACGAGAAATATGTAAATAATTACATATGCGCAAAAAAAAACTCGGATGTCAAACACTTGTACAGAATTCCCCAATCTATCGGACGAGAATGCGCCGTGATGATTATAGGTGTCGAGGGGAGGATCGTCTCAGTTAACTTAGGACAAACCCAGTTCATTTTTCACGAGACGAATTCCTCGCGCACGTTCACGTAGGGCGTTACGCGATGGACGTCTAGAGCGGTGCACTTACACGGGACATAATATACGTCGGACCAAGGACCGTAACTGTCCCCGTATATTATGTCCCGCGTGTCCGGAGACACGCGTTCCAACCGGCTGTATCCGCGCCAAACAATGTCCCGGAACGTCAGTCCTAAACGATTCCTCGTGTCTGCAGTTATTTCGAACAATTAATCGTTCGCCCAGACACTTTATTGTTCTCTTCCTTTTCTTCTCGTTTTCACAATCCTATACCAATCGAATCAGATCGAAAACATGTCTGGACCTAGTAAATATAATAATCTTGAAATCGCGAAATAATCTTACCCCGGGCCTGTCAATTTGATTTCCTTTGGGAAAATATTAATTAAATTGGCTTAATCAAAACTGCAACGGCAATGAGAAAGAAAAATCTTAACTGAGTCGAATATCTTAAGCAAGTCTTAGGATTACTAAATGAGTCACTTCTTAAATATTTTTGAAATATTTCAAAAGTTCTCAAACATTAAATAAATCATGGAGATTATAGTGAAACTCTCTATCTATCTCTTTCGTAAAACTTCTTTCGCTCCGGCATATAATGTCGAATCAACTGGCGCAATTTCATTCCAACTCGTACAGTCGTACCATCTCGCAGCTCCTCGCAGCACGCTAGAAAATCCGCCCCGAAGACGCTAAGATGACGACGGCTTTTAACGATCGTTCCCTCTCGTCCTCTACTACGACGGCAAGTACTTATCGCAGGGTCTTCTCGCAGTCGAGCAGAACGGGAGGCGTCTTCTTCCCGCGAAAGTATCTGGAAAAATTCCTTCTTCCCCTTTCCCCCTATCGAAGATTCAGAGGCGCATAGTCGACAGTCGGAAAGGGATCGCGACCCTTTTAAGATCCGCCTGCATTCCTACATTCTGCCATTTCTGTTTTTCGCGGCTTGATCCGAGATTGCTACGTTGCTGCGCTATGCGGTGCAGCGAACAGACCGTTGTCGATCAATGCCGCGAATAAAATCTTGATTGTGCGTAGCGCCGGCAGGACTTTAAGTGCTGCTTTAATTTATTGATACTTTAAATGTTGGGAGATTTATATCCGATTTTTCACGGCAATGTCAGCTTCTTATCAGCCTTTTGTTTATTGAAGATATATCAAATAAAAAATGAAAAAAAAACCATGTCGATGTAATGTAATAACATGGAAGTTTGATACAGGATGCGATATTAAATGCCACTCGTGGATCGCGTTACAATGCTAGTCTTACTAGTCTACAACGCGTGTATTTGTCACCGTGTCGATAAAATGCGGCGATGGCATTCACGAGCTGCTCCATAAAATTGTTGGTACTACACTCGCTGTTAATCGCTGCAGTGCGCCCCGTTGGAAAAACTCGTGTTTCGAGGAGAGCGAAAAAAGTATGCGAGTGATCCGCCGCTGGAATTAGCGTTCTTCTTGGTTTCCGAGAGCGCTCGCATTTCGTTCGACATTTCGTGACCGAAAAGCCTCTCGCATAAAGAACATTTTTACGTCGTCGGAACGTCGCGCAGCTCGATGCGAAACGTTTATGTACGCGTATTAAAAAATTCTCTCGAAATTCTCGGGAATCCAATCTTTTTCCTTTCTCGACGGTACCGGGCGCGCTCGTTACCGGGGATGCGCGCAGTCACGAGACACGGAGGAGGCCGTCGTGAAAATAGAGTGTAGTAGAGCCCTGAGAGAGAGAGAGAGGAGACTCGCGAAGCTCCGGGAGACAGACGCACGCGTGCATATAAACAATATGAGCGAGCGAGTTGACTTTAAGAGGCAGAAAAAGTGCGAGTGAGAGAGGGTGAATTTTATAGAGGAGAACCAGTGAGAAACACAGTAGAATAGAATAGGAACCCAAAGTTAAGTCCTCTCAGAATGCTATACATAAAAGATGAATCATGGTCAATGAATATAAAAAGCACTGCCCGGAGATATATTATACATATACTAATACATAAGGAATATACCCTTTCTACATCACTTTAGTTGCTAACATATTTTAGTTATTAAGAAGGAAAGGAATATTTATAAAGTAAAATTTTACTAATGTTTTATGTATTTAAATGATTTAAATGATATCAATTTGAACCCTAACATTAGCCATAAAGTACACGGAAAGAACGATTTTGTTGACAGGTCTAAAAATTTTGCTAAATACAGATCTGAAAATAATTTTTTGTTGAATCATCAAAATAATTTGTTGGAATGTTAAAACTGATAAGCATTGCTATAAAACATTTTTGATAAAACAGTTTTGATATTCTAGCAATCATTTCGACTTTCACACAAAATTATTTTGATTATTTAACAAGAATTATTTTCAGATCTGGATTCAGCAAAATTCTTTTCGTGTAAGAACGATTTTAAGACCGACAATGCTCTCACGTCAAGAAAGCAATGGATTTCGTAAGTTATGTAGCGAGGAAGATAAAAGAGAATAAAAGAGCTTCTCTGAGCCAGATTTTAAGTATGATTTAGCACGCGCGAGAAAATAAAAGTGTAAGCAAAACGCGATGTTTTCCCGGCATCGCTCATCCGCGTAACTGCCGGCTGATACGCGATACGCTTACTCGGCTCGATTTTCTAAAGTGTCGCGGCCCTAACTCACTCGCGACCGC